CCTGTGGAGAGAAGACAGGGGAGCAGCAACTTCCAAGGGGCAAAGAAATATACCTGTTGTAATGGATATCAAATGTCACAGGTGTGTTGCGTATGAAGCCACGATCCCCCAACCAGAATCGTGAAGTGATAACAGATGTTTAGGGTCTCTGTGCACAAGCTGCCAATGTAGGCTGATCTGAGCCCTGTCTTTCTTCCGGGTTCAGCTGTGCTCACTCACCTGGCTCTCAGGTAATCTAGAGAGCTTCCTAACGGCTTAGCTCAGTCATAATGTCACAACAATGGTTGAGAATAAAACATTGAGAATAAAACCTGTAAAGTCAACTGAGGCACATGCTTTCCAATGTCCTCGCATTGTGACATTTCACTTCTGCCCAAACTACGAGCTTTGAAGTCTGTATGCAACCAAACTGTGGTCGTCCATGAAATAGAGACATTACCGAATGTTCAAGCACCACTTAACTTTTACCCACAATTTGTCTTTAGAAAGATAGAATAAACACTGGGCAGTGGTGGCACACTCCTTTAATCCTAGCACTCAGTAGACAGAGGCAGGTGGATGGCTGTGAGTTCAAGGCCAGCCAGCTCTACAAGAGCTAGTTCCAGGATAGGCTCCAAAAACTACAGAGAAATCCTGTTTTGAAAAAGAAGAAAGAAAGAAAGAAAGAAAGACAGACTAAGAAAAGTTTCCTGTCAAAAAGAAAAATGGAAGATTGTAGAATGTAAGAAATAATTATGAGGAAATTAACTAAACAGCTCCATTACCAGCCCTACTGTCAGGAGACCTTACTGATTAAAGTGGCACATGCGCTTTGAATTAAAGTTCAAAATACATATTAAATCACTGGTTTGGGCTGTGATTTTAATTACCATTCAGCAAGGAATCACTCTCCACTCTGAGAAGCTGTCAAACAGCTGTTTGGATCCTACCATAATTTGGCCAACTATTATTCAGTGACTTGAGCTTTAGAATTTTAAGTACATTTAAATATGTGTTGATTGGGGTATCTCATTTTTAAAACACTGATGTGCCGGCTTAGATTAATGCAGACAAATTGTGATAAGTATTTGCACAACTTTAATGGAAAACCAGACTCACGAAACCAAGGTTCCATCGGAGTACAAGAAACAGGAAGGGACCCGCAGCTTCTGCGCGCCCAATTTATCAGTAAACATTCACCCGAGGCAAGCCCGCCCCCAACAGGTGGGCTTATCCCTACATTTCCCCCTTTTTGTCTAAATAAGACAGAACTAAACCAATTACAACTATAAACAATAATAACAAATAATAGATATAACAAACAATATTGAGAACAAAAGTTTTATCAGACATTCTATCTCAAGGAGTCTAAATAATGTAATTACATTATATAATCTTCAACTCTGTCAAAGATCTGAAAAGGGAATAAATATTACTTAACAAATGAGAGATATCCAAAATGTGCCATAAATGACAGAGACAACTGACTACCTGGGCAATCACCCAAATTCTAGTTCGCAATGTTGAGTCAACCAAATTTGGCTAAGGCCTAACATAACTGACATACCATTATCAAATGCAAGGAACTTTCTTAGAATTATCCTACCCTGTCTTGGCAAGATAAGACAATCCTGTTTCATATCTTTGTCAGTAGATGAGGTATGGGATTTTCTTAACCCAAAGGCCAGTTCTGCCAAGAAGACAAGCTCCAGTGGAGCGTCTTTGGTGCTCAACTTTCTCTCGGGAGTAGAGTGGCGTTGCCAGGAGTAATTGTGTCTCATTGGCACAGAATTCTAGGTTAGATTAAAGGCCATTTTCTACAGCTCTTTAAAGAGACTGAAGATTATACTATCTATACTAAATATAATCTCTATGTAACTAGAAGACCTGATTAACCTAAAAATAAACATGACAAACATATAATTCTTAATACCTATATAACTTGAAGACTAAGAGAATAAACAACGGTGCAATATATGAAGACAATGATCTTCACCTGTGAACAATGTCATTACATATCAAATGTAAACAATATTATTACATAAATAGTATCAGAGGTAGAAATGTACATTGTGATATGGTAGATGTATCAATACAATATAAGCATACTCTTATACAAATATAGAGGTAGGAACACTCACATTCAATATTCAATATATCAAAATACAGGAAAGAGTACCAATGCAATTTTCTAAAAACAGTAACTCGGGCTGGAGAGATGGCTCAGTGGTTAAGAGCATTGCCTGCTCTTCCAGAGGTCCTGAGTTCAATTCCCAGCAACAACATGGTGGATCACAACCATCTGTAATGAGGTCTGGTGCCCTCTTCTGGCCTGAAGACATACACACAGACAGAATATTGTATACATAACAAATAAATATCGCAACCCAATGAATCCAACATTGCCAACACTGCCTACAACAACTCAGGCATCTAGCAACACTTCACCAGCACAACTCAAAGAAGGGAGACACATAAACTCTAATACCAAAAACAATAAGAATAACTGGAGTAAACACCCACTGGTCATTAATATCACTTAATATTAATGGTCTCAATTCACCTATAAAAAGGCACAGGCTAAGAGATGGGCTACAAAAACAGGATCCAACATTCTGCTGTTTGCAAGAAACACATCTCAACCACAAAGACAGGCATCTACTCAGAGTAAAGGGTTGGGAAAAGGTCTTTCAAGCAAATGGTCCTAAGAAAAAAGCAGGTGTGGCCATACTAATTTCCAACAAAACGGACTTCAAACTAAAATTAATCAGAAGAGATCGAGATGGACACTGTATACTCATAACAGGAACAATTCATCAGGATGACATCTCAATCCTAAATATCTACACCCCTAATACAAAAGCACCCACTTATCTAAAAGAAATATTACTAGAACTGAAGGCAGACATTAAACCACACACACTAGTAGTAGGAGAATTCAAAACACCTCTCTCTCCAATGGACAGGTCAATCAGACAGAAACCTAATAGAGAATTAAGAGAATTATTGGAGGTAATGAAGCAATTGGACTTAACAGACATCTATAGATCACTCCACCCAAATAGGAAAGAATATACCTTCTTCTCTGCAGCACATGGAACCTTCTCAAAAATTGACCATATACTCGGAAACAAATACAACCTCCACAGATACAAAAAAAATCAGTGTCCACCTGTGTCTGATCAGATCACCACAGATTAAAGTTAGAAGGCAACAACAATACTACCCCCAGAAAGCCTACAAACTCATGGAAACTGAACAGTCAACTACTGAATCACACCTGGGTCAAGGAAGAAATTAAGAAAGAAATTAAAGTCTTCCTTGAATTTAATGAAAATAAAGAGACAACATACTCAAACCTATGGGACACGATGAAAGCAGTGCTAAGAGGAAAGTTCATAGCACTAAGTGCACACATAAAGAAAACGGAGAAAGCATATATCGGGGACTTAACAACATACCTGAAAGCTTTAGAAAAAAAGAAGCAGACATGCCCAGGAGGAGTAGAAGACTGGAAATAATCAAACTGAGGGCAGAAATCAACAAAATAGAAGCACAGAAAACAGTCCAAAAATCAATGAAACAAAAAGTTGGTTCTTGGAGAAAATCAACAAGATCGACAAACCCCTATCCAAACTAATTAAACAACAGAGAGAGAACACGCAAATAAATAAAATCAGAAATGAAAAGGGAGACATAACCACAGACACAGAGGAAATTCAAAGAATCATTAGATCTTACTACAAAGGCCTATATGGCACAAAACTGGAAAACGTAAAAGAAATGGACACGTTTTTAGATAAATACCATATACCAAAGTTAAACCAGGCTCAGGTGAACAACCTAAATAGACCTGTTAGTCGCTAAGAACTAGAAGCTGTTATCAAAAACCTCCCTACCAAAAAAAGCCCAGGACCTGATGGTTTCAATGCGGAATTCTACCAGAACTTCCAAGAAGACCTAATACCTATACTCCTTAATGTATTTCACAATATAGAAGCAGAAGAGTCATTGCCAAATTCCTTTTATGAAGCTACAGTTACCCTGATACCAAAACCACACTTTAATTCAATAATAAAGAAATAAATAAATTAAAAAAGAAAGGAGGTTGGTGAGATGGTTCGTTGGTTACAAGTGTCTACTGATCTTACAGAGGACCTGAATTTGATTTTCCAGAGTGTACAATGAAGAGTTAGATCACAATCTCCTGCAACTCCATCTTCTGAGAGATCCAATGTCCTTGACCACCACAGGCATTGCAATCACATGTACAAACCCACTCTCACACCCATATACTCATTAACTAAAAATAGTAAATCTGAAAAAAACTTCAACAGGATAGGAGGACCTATTTGTGGTTACTAGCCATTTTCTTCCTCAACCAATGGCTTATGGATAAAGTGGTCATCAGTCCAGGGATGGAGCTTGTGCATGGACCAAGATACACTTCAGCTCCCCAAGACTGACCTATAAGCCGTCTCTGCCGAGTGCGCTATTTGTGCTGAGTCCCAATATGGCCTCATTCCCTCGGATGATCAATTAGCTACCTGGTGACAGGTTAATTATATAGAAACAATTATTAGTTTGTTCTTGTAAGAAAAATCATTTGATTACATAGTTTCCCTGCCAACAATCCTGCTAAGACCCACCATCTGTGAATCAACAGAACACATTGTCCACTGTCATTGTATTCCCACCATCTGTGAAATAGCAGAGCACCTTGTCTACTTGATCAAAGAACCCACTTTCCAGCAAATGAAGAAAGGAAGAAAGGCAATGAGCCCATGTTTCCGATATCCCTGCTCTTACTATGTTCCTCACCATAGCAGGTAGATTGAGTCAACAATAGACTTTTCATCATTCAATATACATCAGAGTAGAGTGTTTCTGAGAGTGTGCAAGGTCCTGGGTTAAAGGAACAGGGATTAAGTGCCATTTAGGTGGAAATACCTTATAAGGCTCAGAAAAATTTCTTTGGGAAGGTTCATATGCTCTGAGTAATAATCCTATATTTTCTGCAGTTTCTGTCATCATATGATTCATGGATCAAGGAATCAAAGGGTAGAAGGAATATCATCCAATGAATCAAAGGTAAGATCAATCATCATCCAAGGAATCAAAGGGAAGACCAGTCATCATCCAAGGAATCAAAGGTAAGACCAGTCATCATCCAAGGAATCAAAGGGAAGATCAATCCCTAACTAAGGATTTCTCACCCCCGGTAGAGAAGCGTCAGTGTCCTACTGCTCATGCACAGAAATAGTTGTGCCATGTTTGGTAGGGTTATGACTTTATTGGGGATCAGCATGGTTTGTGGCAATGGCTACAGAAGCCAAGGTGACAAGGAGGGGATGATGACTCTGACTTCTTTTCCTCCCCCTTCTTCTCTGTTGCTGCTAGGACTCACTATCCTCAAACTCAGTAGCCCAGACAAGCTTTGAATTTATGATCCTCCAGCTTCAGCCTCCCACGTAGCTGGGAAAACAGAGCCATCCCACTAGATTTAACTGTTTAGCTGACATTTAAAGTGGACAATGTTGAGTAAACAGATTGCTCTCTGTAATGATGTGGCAGATTCCTCCAAACAGTTTAAGGCCGGAATAAGACAGAAGTCTCTTCTCTGCTGAGCAAGAGCCCTTCTCCAGAGGCTGCTTCTGTATTCTGTCTGCATTCTCAGTTCTTGAATCCCTACCCCTGACCCTTATGCTAGAACTCTATTGTCAGCCTACCTAGGTATCTGGGCTCTTGTTCCTTAGAGGCAATCTCTCTCTCTCTCTCTCTCTCTCTCTCTCTCTCTCTCTCTCTCTCTCTCTCTCTCTCTCTCTCTCTCTCTCTCCCCCCTTGTTTGCTATCCCCAGCTACCCTATGCACTCATTTTCCAGATCTTTCCTGTGTTTTATTTCACATAACCTCAGTCTGCAGAGTGAGAATAAAAGAGTGTATCTGTGAAATAGCAGTGGCTTCAGAAGACAAGGGCAGAACACAGGAAGTTTCGAGGTGAGGCAACCATGTGCAGAGAAACTGGAACGTTTATGATGAGAAGCTCACAACACTTAACTATGTTCCTGCTCTTCATATTGGAAATTGCAAACACTGGGACATCTTGGAAAGAATTCCAAAGGAAGTTCGTAATCCAGAAGGTTCTTCTCACTTCTGTTGTGTTTTAGTAAAGAACTTTCTGTTTTGTTCGCTCCCCTTTAAGCTGGAGATAGATATATTTCCTTTTAGGGCAGTGTCTACAGTGCCTCAGGGGCCAGGTCCACACAGGCTCTTCACAAACTTGACTCCTTTTGGACATCAAGTTCAGGGGGATGCATCCTTGGGAAACTGAGGAAGAAAATGCTTCATTACTGAATTTCTGAAGTAAGACTCCACCTGTTTGTGACTCTCTACAGGTACAGGAGTCTGTCTTCTGGTATCCATCTTTTACAGGTACAGGCAAGTACTCTCTCTTTTCCCCGTTTGCCTGAATCAAGGCTGCAGCTACTATGTCCTTTTCCCATCAGAACCCTTCTACTGCCTCAGAGATGTGGGGCACATCTGTAATCCTATCACTTGGGACACTGAGGTTGGAGGATTGCACGAGTAAGGGCAGCATGAGCTATACAATCAGAGGTTGTCAAAACAAAAAACAAAAATCAACCTAATTTATCTGGGAAAGGCGTCTCACTGTGGTTACCTCCAGTCGCCTGGTTGATTAAATGCCCTATCTTTCGGCACCCCTGAAGGATTCTTCTGACCTCATTCTTTTCTTTCATTAACTTAATTTGTGTCAGAAATTTCTATCATGATGATTGCTCTGCAGGGGTTTGGGCCAATGGCTCAGTCAATAAGAGCCCTTATCACTCAAGCCTGAAAACCCAAGTGCAAATCCCCTGTACCCCTGTAAAGCTGGGCATAGCGGCATGTGTCTGTAACCCTCATGCTGGGAGTAGTCAGGCGGATCCCTAGACCTCATTACCAGTCGGTCTAGGCACTTTATGTCTGGATTAGTGAGAGATTTTGTCCCTAATAATGCAGAGGGTGATAGGGGAAGGCCCCTGAGGTCCCCATAAGCGTGCATATGTGTGTACACTTGCAGGGACATATGGATGTGCACGCACACACTGCAAATACATACACATAGATCACATATGACAGGAAGGAAAGAAGGAAGGACAAAATAAAACCACACCCCAAAAGGCAGGGGGGCAAAAGTATAATCAAATATAAGCACACACAAAAAACATGTAGAGTCCATTATATGGTGATCAACTACTCCTGCACATGAGGCCTGCCCGCCGTGTGGCTGAAATATCCATTGCCCTCTACTGGAGAAAAGTGATTTTCTGTTTTCTGGCAAGCAGAAGTGATAGTTCAGTTTTTAATCTGTAGAGGCGAGGTGGCCTGAAATTAATAATGGGGATTGGCTGGAAACTAGAGAGAGATCTTTCTTATAAAAACCCTCATGCTGTCTAGGGAAGAGAGCAGGGGGTGAGGCCATTGTGGACATCGTAGTCGAAGCTGGGAAATGGTTCTTCTTCAGAAGGTGGTGTCAGAGGCTTCAGAGTCAGATCAGAACTGGGAAATAAATACAGACTTGTGGAGGGAGGCAGAGCACTACTACGATGCTGGCAGACAGCTGTGTTTTTATTGGTTTATGAGCAAGACGGTGGGAGAGCATGAAAACGAGAGAGCTGAAGTCCAAAGAACCTGAATAACTCAGGTAGATGCCTCACAGTCCTCGGGCATCTCTACAAATAGGAATCTTAGAAATAATGCTCTCAATGAATGGTATACTGGAAGCGACATACGGTCTTTGGAGGGAATTAAAGACATGAACGACTACTTTGTGTTTATCAGCCAGCACAAAAATAGACATGAGCCAATTTGATGTCTTCTGTTTCCCGCTCACGTACTTCTCTGGTAATGGAAAGAGAAAATCGTGATGAGGGCTACATCTGAAATCCCCTTCCTTTAGTTGATATGATTTCTTTGTGAGTTAAACCAATCCACAAATAAAGAACAACAGATTCAGTACAGGAATAAGTGTCTCTAATCTGTCGCATTTAATGCTGGTTTACTGATTCAGCCCACTTCTTCCTCGGCTCCTGGATATAGCCTTTGATTTATACTGCCTGTGATCGTACTAATAGAATTTCATATTAGTTCAGGAACACATTATACTCCTCCGAATTTAGAACCCCAAAGATTGGTTACAGCTACGGCATTTCTGCATAGCCTCATTTTTAGTGAGCACAAGCATAATAGACCTCTTTAATGGATGTTTTTGGCCTACTGAGCTGAACCACAGAATGAGTGACTTTTAAATGGAACTATAAAGACCTGACCAAAAAGACATTCTGGAAGAGTTGACCCCAGGAAAACTGTAGTCTCCAACTTTACCACCTGACACCTACTATAAACGTTCTCTCTAAAGTTTGATGGCAAACCAGTGTTAAATTACTTGGGGAGTAGCTTGTGCTCAGATGCACATAGTAAATTAGATGTAGAAATAAGTTTGGGTTAGAAAGTTAGAGCCAGATGTGGTGATGCATGCCTGTAATTCTAGCACTCAGGAAGCAGAAGCAGGAAGACCAAGAGTTCAAGGCCAGCACTGGCTACACAGTGAGTTAGAGGCTATTCTAAATAACAACAAAACAGGAACAAAATTGAGAAAATTAGGAAGACTATGGGAGCCAGTTTGGCCCCATCCTCTGGCCTTGTGAAGATATGGAATGAACACTTGTGGATGAAGAGACTGGTGTCTGAGGCCACCCAGCTAGTTAATGGCCAAGGGTGGACTCAATCTCGTGTTCTCATCTTTGGTACATGTTATCACCAGCTAATAAAAGTGAAAAAACATGTTTATGATATCTTAGAAAAGGAGACATGAAGCCCTCGAATAGTAAATGAGACATTCAGAAGGGAGACTGATAGAAAGAAGAGCTTCTCATCTGTGTTTATGTTTCGAATTTTCTTTGCTCTGTCTCACCCAGCCACACACACCTTCAAGGAGTCTGTGGAGTTCCTTCCGATCCAAACCACTGGGCTACTATGTTTTCTGCTGCACCCACAGTACCACAGAAGGTTCACTGACATTGTTGAGAGAAAACACGATTTCCTCCAGAGTATTTTGTTAAGACTCGGTTATCCAGTCTGTGTTTTGAAGCATCACTGTTGTTATACAGGATGGAAGACTTAAGAACGAAGGGGGCAAAGAACAAGTCCTGCCTTTTATTGTTAGCAAGAAGTCTCCCTCAGTCTGTCTGTCTGTCTTTATGTCTATCTGTCTCTGTCTCTCATTTTGATGTTTTTGAGAGAACAGTCTTGTATCGCCCAGGATGGGCTTAAGTGTGTTACCCAGTTGTTTCTGGCTTTGAGTTCCATATCCTCCTGCCTCAGTTTCCCCAGCACCAGGATAGCAGCTGCGTGTCACCATTCCTGGCTTTCATCCTTGTTTTAATTTAAATTCCACACACTAATTAAAATCAGAACGAACACCATTCCCACTTTAAAATCCATTCCATACCATCTTTTGTTTTGGAAAGGAAATGAGATAGGCCTTGGAGGGACCTTTCTGTGAGACCGACTGTGAACACAGCAAGACAAGATAATGTGCAAAATTATATCTTTATAACTCAAAAGATCAGAGAAGACCACATGTTATAAGATTAATCATTCATAAAATGACATGGACAACAAGAATCTGAGCACAGCAGGACTTGGAACAACAGCAGAACACAGCTCTTTATCTTACATAAAAGAATTGGTTTGCAGCTTCTTGGTTAAGATGGGGAAGCACCGCAGCATAGTACTCTAATGTGTATATATTCCACACTTTCTTCATCCATTCTTCCATTGAAGGGCATCTAGGTTGTTTCCAGGTTCTGGCTACTACAAATAATACTGCTATGAACATAGTTGAACAAATGCTTTTGTCATATGATAAGGCATCTCTTGGGTATATTCCCAAGAGTGATATTGCTGGGTCCAGGGACAGGTTGATCCCGAATTTCCTGAGAAACCGAAACACTGATTTCCAAAGTGGTTGCACAAGATTGCATGCCCACCAGCAATGGTTGAGGGTACCCCTTCCTCCACAGCCTCTCCAGCAAAGGCTATCATTGGTGTTTTGGATTTTAGCCATTCTGACAGGTGTAAGATGATATCTCAAAGTTGTTTTGATTTGCATTTCCCTGATCGCTAA